AAAGCACGTTAGAATTTTGCTCAACTATTTGGACCCCACTTCTGTCCCATAGCACACTGGGAGCTGGGGTAAGGTGTGTCTGACCACCAGTTATTAATAAGCAGTAGACATTCCACCAACTGATTTTCAGTGAATTGGCTTTTAGCAAATTGGTCATTTGGCAAAGTGGTCATTAGGCAAATGGGTCATTTGGCGAATAGGTCGTTTAGTAAATCGTCTTTCAATGACTTGCCCTGTGAGATTTCTCTACAGTGAGCACTTTCTTGGGTTAAATGTACATTTCATTTCCATAATTAATATTCACTAGCGCCTGGATGGGAAACTTCCCACGGACCCTGGAGCATCTGAAACAGCCTCTTAATAATCAGACAATTAAAACCCATCTGATTTTTTTTTAACAGGAGCAGAGATGCAGAGGTCATCTGTTCTCCAAAATACAGCAATAGGTCTCGGGACTGTCACAGGAGTTCTTGCAGTTCTGTTTGTCGCTAGCGTGACATACACAGCCATTCGTCGGAAAAAGAAGTGAGTGGCCTTTGGGTTTCCTGTGGTTGGTGCACATTGTAATCATCCATTTCAATCACTTCCTGCCACAAGGGGTCCAGCACTTTGAGAACCCAGCAACTAGAGCCAGCTTGGGCCCAGGACTCAGAAAAGACCCCAGCTTGGTTTAATAAGCTACTATCACAGGCTCAAAATTCTTAACAAGGACCCTGCATTTTCATGTTGCACTAGACACCCCCCCCAAATTATGCACTAGTTAGTTTTCTAGGACTGCCATAACAAAGTACCACAAACTGGGTGGCTTAAAACAACAGAAAAGTATTGTTTCATAGATCTGGAGGCTAAAAATACAAAATCAAGGGTTGGGCAGGGCCATGGTCCGTCTGAAACCTGTAGGGGAGGGTCCTTCTGTGCCTCTTCTAGCTTCCAGTGGTTGCCAACAGTCCTTGATGTTCTTCCTCCAATCTCTGCCTCCATTGCCACACTGCCCCCTTCTACCTGTGTCGCTATCTTCTAAGGCAGTAGACAACCCACCAATGAGGTTGGTGGATTAGGAAGGTTCTCAACCTTCCTAATGCCGCGACCCTTTAATACAGTTCCTCATGTTGTGGTGACCTCCAACCATAAAATTATTTTCATTGCTACTTCATAACAGTAATTTTGCTACTGTTATGAATCGTAATGTAAATATCTGATATGCACGATGTATTTTCATTGTTAAAAATTGAACATAATTAAAGCCTAGTGATTAATCACAAAAACAATATGTAATTATATATGCGTTTTCCGATGGTCTTAGGCGACCCCTGTGAAAGGGTCATTCGGCCCCCAAAGGGGTTGCGACCCACAGGTTGAGAACTGCTGTTCTAAGGACACCAGTCATGGGATTTAGGGTCCCCTGTAATCCAGTATGACCCTATCTTAATTTAATTATGTCTGCAAAGACCCTATTTCCAAATAAGGTCACATTCCTACGACTTTTACCATAACTTTGGGGGAGAGGAACAATTCAACCCATAATATTGGTTCTGCCACCCATCAAAGCATTATATGAGCTGGTGCACTGCTTTCTACATCTCAGTAGTTTATCACTAGACTGAGCCTTCCGTATTCTTGCACACAACCCTGACCATTTTTCTACTTGGATGCAGCATGGGGACCTCCTGAACACTATAAACTACCGAAAAGCAGAACTTTACTTAACCTTAACTCCATTTCACAGCCCACAGTTAACGTAATTCCTATTTAAACTATAAAATTTTCCTGTGAATTGAAACATGACCTATAAAGGTCTCTATACCCTGAAGCAACATTTTAGAAAGAAATCAATTGGTCCTTTTTTACAGAAACCATTAGCCATAGGAGAGATACAGGAAAAACTGCAATGTACTGATTGAATTGCCATGCCCACAGCATAATTTCTAAAATGCAACCGTTCCATACAGTTAAAATGTATTAGGTTTTTATTATTATTACTATTAGAGAAAGCCTCAAATCCAGAAGCTGAATCACTAATTTGGCATGTGCTCATGCACATCCCTCTTGCCACTGGAAGGACCACTGGGATGTCCTAATGCTTCTCTCCATATCGACACCACCTGGAGTTTCTATTTGTGTTACACGCCAGGCAGTCCTAATCTTCACTTACGCCTGAACATACCACACCTTTGAGGTCCATAGAACCTTAAACATCCCTTCAGTGCCTTGACCCTTCCAGAGTCAGACCTGAAATGCATCACCTTTGTCCCTCCTGAGAGCCCGCATGCAAAGATGAAGGTTTCTTCTGGGTGTAGGTCAATGCTGTGGCTCACTCAGGATCCTTCCCCAATCTGCTTCCCATCTCCGGCATTAGGTAAGGTTGGACCAGCCTGGGCTTATTAATATCTTAGTATAACGTCAGTGTTACTATGGTACTAACTATACATGTCCTTTCACTCCTCAGAGCAGCGTTTCTCAACCTGTGGGTCGCGACCCCTTTGGGGAGCAAACGACCCTTTCACAGGGGTCGCCTAAGACCATCGGAAAACACATATATAATTGCATATTGTTTTTGTGATTAATCACTATGCTTTAATTATGTTCAATTTGTATCAATGAAAATACATCCTGTATATCAGATATTTACATCACGATTCATAACAGTAGCAAAATTACAGTTATGAAGTAGCAATGAAAATAATTTTATGGTTGGGGGTCACCACAACATGAGGAACTGCATTAAAGGGTCGCGGCATTAGGAAGGTTGAGAACCACTGCCTCAGAGGAAAGATAATTAATCGCTATTATGTGTGTTCATAGAGTAAGCCCTGTGTTTATGAGTTTAACTGACCCGTTGTCATTGGTTTTCTACTGCAGGCAGCACACCGATCAAAACAGCGGAAGTGAACCAGGGCACCTGACCGAAATCCCGAGAGTCGCCCTTTAGGACCAAGTCTCAAATCATAGTGAAGACTCATTGTTGTGTCGCTGGTGACCCCATCTCCGGACACTGTGACTAGGAGGATTTTGCAACATCTCGGGACCCGAACCCAGGAGTTCCATGTGAAGACACAGCAATCGCCACAGCGCACCTTCTTGCTCTAAGTCAGCGGTTCTCAACCTGTGGGTCGCGACCCCTTTGGGGGTCAAACGACCCTTTCACAGGGGTCGCCTAAGACCATCGGAAGACACATATATAATTACATATTGTTTTTGTGATTAATCACTATGCTTTAATTATGTTCAATTTGTAACAATGAAATTGGGGGTCACCACAACATGAGGAACTGTATTAAAGGGTCTCAGCGTTAGGAAGGTTGAGAACCACTGCTCTAAGTCAACAAGTGTTGGGAGAATGAAAGATAAACCACTCTTGTGCCAGATCCTGTGCTCTCCTGGTTGTGGAAAAAGCACAACAGATATGAGAGAATAAACGCATTCAGTTAGAATGAATTCTCCTCTCTAGTGCTCAGAGCTGAACAGGGCTCCTGTGTCGCTCATCCGAAGGGGGTGAGGAGACTTAATCTGTCCTCTCGTCTGCCTTCTGCAAATTAGCCCTCGAGATGCTTCTAAGCAGAGTTGTGTGAGAGATTTGTGAAGTCAGCCGTGCAGACTTTGAACACGGTTCAAACTCCAGGGGCAGCGCTGGGACGTGGGGGACTCTGCCCTGCCTTTCACTCCAGACGCGATCATGTCACACAGAAGTCATTATTGTTTAATCTCCCTCCCTATGCCCGCCTCTGTGCCACTCCACAGCACCCCAGAGCCCCCTTGCTCTTCTCTCAGCGCCTTTTTCCTGCACAGTCGGCCTGGCATAGAATGCCGTCATGCTTCTGCCTGTGGGGGCGACGATAACGTCACTGGCCCCTTCCCCCAAGAGCCCCTGAGGCCCCGGGAGCAGGGACCACTCCCGGCTTTTCTCACTGCGGCATCCCCAGCGCCAAGCACGTGAGAGCCTACTCAGCATTTGGTGAACCAACGTCCCCCTGGGGTTAGGGACTGACCCACAGGCTGGGGGAGCGAGAGCTCCGGCCTTCCGTCGGAGGAGGCCATGGAGAGGACGCGACCTCCGGCGGACCTGCGAGCGCCTCTCCCCTCCCCTGCCCTGCCCGCCGTCCCCAAAGTGGGAGCGGGGTCCTGAGAGAACTGTGGTGAGGGACCACCCGGAGTGGGCACGGGCACGACTGACCCGGTCAGTGCCTCTACGGAAACTTAAGATTTCTGTGGGGAGCGCGGAGGCCTTCTCCTCTCGAGACTCCCCAGACAAGACTCTTCATTAAATTTCCTTATTAAACCTGCCACCTCACCATCTGGGGTGGTCTGCCTCTCTCCCGTTTCTCTTCGCCCTCCGTGTGCCAGCCAGTTTGCAAAACAACACCCTGACATAATACCCTTTTCCAAGGAGGGAAAGGGCGGCCATGGCCGGAGCCCACGGACCCCGGGCCTGAGGAGGCACCCCCTCCAGGGGCATGAAGGGCGGTCAGGGAAGGTCCCTTTTGCCCATTCACACAGAGAGGTGGCGCCAACGGGGACAGGTCTAGGTTAGGGAGGCGGGGGCTGCCCCCGACAAAGAAACCCTCGGGAAAGTGCGGGAACAGCAGAATGTTTACCGGCATCTCAGCCTCAGGGGACGCTCCCCGGGGAGCGCTCGCGGAGCTGCAAAGCTTTCGTGTGGCGCCAAACCCTGGCCCCGCCCCGCCCCGCCCGCGCCTGGCCCCGCCCCTTCCCTGGCCCCACCTCCCAGGTCTCAGCTCGCCAGAGCCGCCTCCCGCACCGCCTCCAACTTTCCCCAAGTCCCACCTCCCAGAGCCCGCAACGCCCGGACTTCCCGCCCAAACCACACCCAGGGACCCAGCATCGCCTAGCCTCTCCAACCAGAGCGCGAGCGCGCCAGGCCCCGCCCCCAACCCCGCCCCCGCCCCTCCGGCCTTCTCTGGCCGCTTCAAGCCCCGCCCTCGGCCCCGGCCAGTCGCCTAGGCTGGTACCGCCTCCTCCGGGCACCTCCCCGCTTCCGCCCCGTCTCCGGAGCAACGCGGCGGCTCCGCCCCGTCATGGCGCGGGAGGAGAGCGTGGAAGCCTCGCGCCTGCTGCAGAGTTTCGAGCGCCGCTTCCTGGCGGCGCGCGCGCTGCGCTCCTTCCCCTGGCAGGTGGGCGGCGGGGCGCGCTGAGTGCGAGCGGCGGGGGGCGCAGCACTGGTGAGGGGGGCGCTACGGGCTCCCTCCCCGCCACGGGACGGCCTCGGCTTTTTCGGGTGTCGGGGCCATACCTCTGGTCCCCGTCCTGGGGCTGCGCCGGGGCCGCGCGGGCTGGTGGCGGAGAGCAGGAGGTGCACCTGCGCGCCACTGGGAAGCCCACCCTTCCCCCGGCCATCAGCTCCCTCCCCTCTGGGCCCTTCCCGCCCTCCGCTACCTGTGCTGACTTGGGTCCCACGAATTGAAGGAATGCGGGGTTTCCTCCCAACTCCCTTTTTCACTCAGCTTTTTAGGGTCATGAACAGTTCCCAATAATTTTCATGACTTTTTCTTTTTAGCCAGTTATCATCCCGGGCATGAAAAACAGCTGCTGTTGCCTATTTTAATGGTCAAGGCCTCAGCACAGCTGGAGATCAGGTTGCAATGAGCGCAGTGACCAGATCACAGACAACCCCCCCACCCACCCACCCAATTACAGACACACGCACGCCACTGGGTGTTTTCATCCTTGTCATCAGCTTTGGACAAAATCGTCTCAGAGGCAACTTGGAGGCTCTTAAGCCTCGGATGGAAGAGACAGGGAGGGACAAAGCCGGCCAGAAAATAGACGGTAGAGGTCTCAGCTCCCCTGCCCTGGGGACCTGCCACTGCACAGGCCAATGGCATGGCAGCAGCTTCCTCCTGCCAAGGAGATTTCCAATGACATTGCCTCCTTTATAATTCATGTGCGGTGAGCTCACTGGGATGACTCAGTTTGGATATGTATCCTTCCCAGGTCTTCCCCTCCTTAGTCATTTGTATTTTATTGACATAAACCATTTAGCATTCTGAGAGCTCATTTCCAGTCACAAAGGGATATGTACATTTTTAACCCAAAATGTAAACCTTTCTAACAGCATCTATGGAACCCAATTCCATAGCAGCTAAAATTGTTCACGTAAAATAAGCGCATACTCTGTACCAGGACCATGCTAAATGCATGCTTAGGCTGGCCCACAACACCCATGTGGTGGGTGCTATTGCTATTGTGTTTTGCCACACAGGTTGTTTGACTAGAAGAGAGGTAGAGTGCAGACCTGAGAGACAGCCTCCTGCTTGGAATCCTGGCCCAATCCCATACAAGCTGTGTGACCTTGGGCAAGTGACTGCATACTTCTGGGCTGTGGTTTTCTTATTAGTAAAACAGGATGCTTACCTCAAAGGGCTGTTATCAGGAGTACATGACAGTGAAGTATCTGAGGCAGTGCCTGGCTCATGGTAAATGGATGTAAGTGTTAGCTAGTATGTTTATTCCATCCAAATGTTTACTGACTGCCTTCCAGGAGCCAGGCACCAGGATCAGCAGCACACAGATGAGGCCTTGTTCAGATGGGAGAGCCAGAGAATAAACACGTAAATGAATAAATAAGAAAACGCCACGGGCCGAAACCGGTTTGGCTCAGTGGATAGAGCGTCGGCCTGCGGACTGAAAGGTCCCAGGTTCAATTCCGGTCAAGGGCATGTACCTTGGTTGCGGGCACATCCCCAGTGGGAGGTGTGCAGGAGGCAGCTGATCGATGTTTCTCTCTCATCGATGTTTCTCTCTCATCGATGTTTCTGACTCTATCTCTCTCCCTTCCTCTCTGTAGGGAATCAATAAAATATATTTAAAAAAAGAAAACGCCACGGGATGATAGCAGTGGCTATAAAGTCAATAAAACAAGGAAATGTTTCATCAAAGGAGGGGAATCCGGGAAGGCCTCCAAGAGGGGAAATTTGAGCCAGGACCTGAACAGTGAAGCAGTGGGCTGTGGGAGGTCTTGGGGAGCAGGGAGTGCAGAGATTTGCCAGTGAGAGCAAGCTGCAGTAAGGAGGCCAGTGTGGCTGGAGTGACATGAGCAGAGGTGAGATGGATGACGGCAAGAGAGAGGCCAGGGCCAGGTCTTACAACATGTGATAAGTCGTTCTGGAGAAACAAAGGGATCTGCCCAGGGTCGCACACCAGCCAGGCAGTCTGCCTGATTCTGGAGCCTGAGCTCACTACCAGGAGTCAGCCCCCTGCAGGAGAGGACAGTGTATAAGCTGGGCCTGGCAGCTGCACATTAACTCAGTGTCAAGTCCAAGGCAAGCCCACCAGGCGCTGACATCCTGAGTAACTGTAATTCCTGGCTGACAAGGACAGCCACCAAGCCGGTCTGTGACCCAGGCGAGGCTTAGCAGCCAGGGCTAATGCAAACCATGAGTCTATCTCCTGATATTCTTTCTCTGACTCATCCAGGTATAACCTAAGACTTGTCAAGGTCAGGCTTTCACCCACCCAGGTCCCTGGGGAGAGATCACTTAGCACTTTTCCAACATGTCCTATTGCATGTTTAATGTTCCTGTGAAAATGTCTTGATTTCTCTCTCTCCCCCCAATCTATCTCCAAATAGAGCCTAGAAGAGAAATTAAGGGACTCCGGTTCTGAGCTGCTGCTGGATATTTTGCAGAAGGTAAGAATCACAGGGTCAGTCACTGGGATGCAATCACCAGCCTCCTGACATGCCCATGAGGACAGGACAGAAGTGCAGTGCCTGTGCTTGTCTCCTTTAAAAAGAAAGGCTCTGCATTTGGGTGGGAGCACCTCAGAGAGCTCTGTCTTAGATGAAGATATCAGAATATACAAAAATCTACTTGAGAGGAGGGAGTCTGGCAGATGTTTTTTAAACTGTCCACAGAGAAAACAAGTGACAGCTGTGGGAACATCTAGCATTTGCTAACTGTTCAGAGAATTTCTTCTTTACATTTAAGGGAAAAATAAAGATGCAAGTCTTGCCCACTTGTGTCTCTTTTCCAGATGTAGGTGGGCCCCTGCTTTTTGGAGTTGAGTTTTGGATTCTAAGATGCGTGTGGGTGGGGGTATATGTGGAACCACCACTGTGCCTGACCTGCCCCTGGCCATGTGGATCAAGTGCAGATTACATTGCCTCCTGGCTCCCAACCCTCTGAAGGGTCATGAACCCTTCTCAAAACCCAAAGCTATGGGCTCTCCCCCCAGAAAAAAAAAGCATCAGAATACATTTGGAATACAAATTCAGGGGAGTCACAGATCCTCCTCCCACCACTAAGCCCTCCAAGGAACCCAATGGGGCTCAGTTGGTTGTAGAATAGTCCCGTCTACCAAAAGGTTGCAGCTTTGATTCCAGGTCAGGGGACATACGGTAGGCAACCAGTTGATCAATGTTTCTTCTCTCTCTCTCTCTCTCTCTCTCTCTCTCTCTCTCTCTCTCTCAACCTCAGTTGAGGATTAAAAAAAGAAAAAAGAATTCCTATGTGGAGGGTAAACCAGGGGTATCCTTCTGACCACCAAGTAGAGAAGGTGGAGCTGTAACTGGGGAAGACTTCAGGGCAATCTAGTATTTAGGACTGTGAGCTCAGAGATGTCCAAGGTTATTGTTCATTGTAGGCTACTCTGATTCTTCCCCCACCTAACACCAGCCAACTAGAAAGCCCCTGAGCAGTGTGTGGGTATTTTATTGCCCTTGGGTAAAATAATGTCCCTCCAGCCAACAGGCCCCCTGGAACTGGTCCCTACTCTCATTGCTCCTGTCACCCTGCCCTCCTTCCCAAAATGCCAGGCTGTGGCCACCTTGGAGCCTGCTTAAGCTGTTCTCTCTGCCTGGGCCTCCTTCTCCAGCTTTTTGATTCCACTGAACTGTCACCCCTGAGAGCCCCCTTTCCCCTCCTCCACATCCCAGGTGGAGCCCCCATCTTCCTCTGCCCTGGCCACCAGGGCACTCATCATGGTCTGGCTCCTGCTCATCTCCTTGGCTGGAATATGAGTTCCAGGAGGACAGGTGCCAAATCTGCCTTGTTCCACCATTTGGGCTCTTGCCTCTTCCATGGAGCCAGGCAATCCCACACTTGTCCTTACTACAAACTCTCATTCATGCTGGCTGCCCTGGGAAGGGGTGTGTCTTAGACCAGTCCAGCTGCTCTAACAGAATACCATAGACTGCGTGGCTTATAAACAACAGTAATTTATTTCGCACAGTTTTGGAGGCTGCGAAGTCCAAGATCAAGGTGCCAAGTTCAGTGTCTGCTGAGGGTCTGCTATCTCGTTCATAGAGGGCCATCTTCTCATTGTATCCTCATATGGTGGAAGGCACAAGGGACTGCTATGGGGGTCTCTCATATAAGTGCACTAATCTATTCTTGGGGGCTCCACCTGCATGACCTAATCACCTCCCGAAGGCCCCACCTCATAAAACCATTGCATTGGATGTTAGATTTCACATATGAATTTGGGGAGATGCAGACATTCAGTCAATAGCAGGGTGTTTGCTTGGGTCTGTGTGCCTCACATACCTGCCCAGAATGGGTGTTAGAAACACCGCCACAGCCTGTGCTGCTGCAGCAGAGAAGTGTTGGGAAAGGGCTTATTCTGAAGACTTACTCTTTCAGATGCACGAGAATCACCTAGAGCCAGAACCTTTGTGTCTGTATGTGTTTGCTGAGGGATCGGGTAACTGGGGTTTGCTCTGTAGTCACGTAGAGCCCATGGGAGACTACAGGCCGGGTTTCTTCAGCAACTCACATGTGTCCCTTGTCACAGACCGTGAAACATCCTCTGTGTGTGAAGCATCCGCCGTCTGTGAAGTATGCCCGGTGCTTTCTCTCGGAGCTCATCAGAAAGGTCAGTGGTGGGCATGTCTGCCTGGTAGCCAGACAGCATCTGGCACTTGGCTGGCTCTCCAGAAGTGGGCCCTCTGCCCAGCTTTGCTTGTTGGAGCTCAGATCCGGCCCATGCCCTTTGCCTCCTCTGCAAACCCCGTATGGCAGGTGCTCCCTGGGCAGCTGTCTCCCAGCTGGGTTCGACCAATGAAAGGCCGTGGAGGGCGGAAAGAGAACGCCAAGGCCTGTCTCTCTCTCTGCCTCGAGGGATCTCCAGCAGCAGCTGCGTCTCCTCTGTGGTCCCTGTGCGAGTTGTCATTTCCACCGGGCAGCCCTGAGCATCGAATCCCCACCTTCTCCTTCTCTTCTCCCACCTGAGAGGTTTTGACAGTTTCCTGCTGTTGCCAATCTCTGGATTGCTGCACTATCCTTGTTGGAGGTTTTAGGTCTTGCAATGCCTTTATAACTAGTTCCCCTTACTACCTTCCTCCCAATGAACTACTGGAATAGCTCTTTTCCTGACTGATACAGGATGGATTTTAAGGTTGAACCCAAATTTGCTGAATTTCATGTTAGACTGGAGTTCAGTAAGACAAAACCTCAGTGGTCAGTAGCAGGCCTGACCTGTTTGGCCTCTGAATACAAGGGCCGTGCCTCACCCATGCTTAGCACATGGAGCAATCCCGGCTTCTCCGTTGCCTCCATCCCTCGTTCTCACCAGCAGGTCTCTCCCACACCACTAGGGGGAGCAAGGCCACCGATGCCCCCCACCCCACCCCACCTCCGTGGGGCGCAGGACAGGTTGCCCACTGATGAAGCCACACCCTGAAGTGTGGAGTGCCCATCCTGTGGCTTTTGCCCGGGCCCACTTAAAAGCACCATTTGTATTCTCCATCCCAGACATCCTGGTCAAAGGGCAGAGCTCTCTGTCCTTGACACACAGCAGCTCCCATGCCATTCCGTTTCTGCTGCCATAGATTACTCCTTATTCTCACCCTCGCCCTCTCTGTACCTCTTTGAGATACTCAGGTCCCCCAACTGAGTGAATTTTTTATATGCCAGGTAGCCTGTGTTACGTCAGTCCATCCCAATCTGCCTCACCATATTTGGTGAAAATCCTCCAGTCGTTTTTAGAAGTCAGAGTAAAGGCAAATAGACAGGACCTTTGTTTGGTTCATGAGGGTCCATATTTAATGCTCTTGCTGAAGCTCTCGCTCCACCACCCCCAGCACGAAGCTGCTCATGAAGAGCCTTTGGACGAGCTGTACGAGGCGTTGGCAGAGATCCTGACAGCCGAGGAGCCCACTCAGTGCCACAGGAGCTATCTGTTGGTAGGAGCCGTGCGCCTCCCTCCCCCCACAGGCCAGACACCCGCCTCTGCACACAGTTACAACTCAGGCTCCAGCAGCCTTCCATGGGTTCGGACCCATCAGCTCTGTGGTCTTAGGTGGAGTCAGTTAACTGCCCCTGAGCTTAGTTTCTTCATCTGTAAATCAAGCACTTTGACAAATAATAGTACCTGTTTTATGGGGTGGCTGGGAGTTAAATTAGGTTGTGCATAGTATTTACTAGCAGGAACAGTCCCCAATAAATGCTTGATGAGTGGGTGTTACAGGACAGCAGTCACTTCCCACTCTCCCCCCCCCCACCCCCACCCCACTATCCTCACCAGCCTGGACCACTGTCACAGCCTTCTGACTGGTCTTCCAGCTTCATGCCCCACAAAAATCCATTCTGCACACAACAGTCAAAGGGATCTTGGATGTTTTTGTCTGTTTTTAACCTTTTACCATAAAATAAAGCATAGATACAGAAAACCACACAAAATAAATATACAGCTTATTGAATCATTGCAAGGCAGCCACCCTGGTAACCATCACTTCAGTCAAAAGACAGAATTTTGGCAGCCAGCTCACAAGGCCCTACTCTTAAGGGCTCAGATGATAAAATTGGTCTCACCCAGATAATCCAGGATAATTTTTCCATCTCAAGTCCTGTAACCTTAACCACATCTTCAGATCCCTTTGCCTTGTAACATAACAGACACGGGGCCCAGGGGGTGGGCATAGACATGAATGACCTAGCACACATCCCATAGTCTCTTCCTTTTCAATCTGTATGTCTTTAGAGCTCCCCTCAATCCACATGTTGACGTCTCTCTAGCCATTTTGGTTGTCTGAAGTTTGGTCTCTAATAGATTCTTTAAGGAGGGCTTCTGGGATTGACCTTCCCTGCATTCTTACATGTTGATAACAGTATGAGCCATTTATACTTGAATTCTGACTCATATTTTCTCTCCTTGAGTCTCTTAAATATGTTTCTCCCTTTTCTTTGGCATGAAGCATTGCTGTGGGAAAGCCTGATGATAATCTAATTTTCTCTCCCTTTTCTCTTCGATGGGCAACGGGTCTTCTTTCTTCAAAGTTCAGTCATTTTACTAGAATGTGTCTTGGGTTGATTATTGGGGGCTGGTGATCCCAGGAGCAATGTTTGTATTCCTTCCGTGTTATTTCAAATCATTTTGTTTTTTCAGGAATGCTTTCTTAAATTATAATTTTTAGTACTTGTTCTTTGCTTTTGTTTTTCATTAAAAAATACCTTAAAACATGTAGCCTAAACAAAAGAAATGTATCACCTCACAGTTCTGGAAGCTATAGCTCCACAGTCAGGTTGTTAGTAGGGCTGCAGGGAAGGCTGTGTCCAGCCACTCCTCGGCTTGCAGGTGGCCGTCTCCTCCCTGTCTCTTCACAGCATCATCCCTTGTGGTGTTTCGATGTCCTGATATCCTCTTCATATAAGGATGCAGTCAGGACCTTATTTGAACTTGATTTCCTCTGTGAAGACCCCGTCTTCAAATAAGGTCACATTCAGAGGTGCTGGGGGTTAGGACTTCAGCATATGAATTGGAAGTGGGGGTGGGGGACACAGTTCATCCCATAGCAATCTCTTTCTTAATTTATTTTTTTTTTTTTAGGGGGGGAATACACGCACACACACACACACACATATATTTGTTGTTAATCCTCACCAGGGGATATTTTTCCAATGATTTTTAGGGAGAGTGGAAGAGAGAGGGAAAGACAGAGAGAATCATTGATGTGGGAGAAACATATCGATTGGTTGCCTCCTGCACAAGCCCTGACCAGGCCCCCAGGCCAGGAAAGAGCCTGCAACCAAGGTACCCTTGAACAGAATCGAACCCAGGACTGCAGTCCGATGTTCTATCCACTGAGCAAAACCAGCTAGGGCTTAAATTTATTTGTATTGATTTCAGAAAGGAAGGGAGAGAGAAAGAAACATCAATGATGAGAGAGAATCATTGATTGGCTGCCTCCTGTACGCCCCACACTGGGGACCGAGCCTGCAACTCAAGTATGTGCCCTGACCAAGAATCGAACTATGACCTCCTGGTTCATATGTCAAAACTCAACCACTGAGGCACATCAGCCGGACTTCTTTTATATTTTTAAAAATCACTTCATTTCACCTCCTTTTTCTCTTAACTTTACCTAGTTTTGTTTTGTTTTCATTCTCATATTCCTTCGTGTAGTCCTTGACCACCTCGGATGGTCAAGTTTCCTCCTAGGTGTTCTTGCTGTTCTTGGCCAGCCCCTGCATCCCGATGAATGCCTGTAGCTCTGGGTTCTCCTGTCCTCAGGTCAGCCACATGCCCCATTGCTTCCCTCTTCTGTCTCCACAGACAAAATGAGCATGAGGCTTATGCCTGTGGTTTCCCCTCATCTGTTGATATTTTTAGGCTCACAGAGATACTTTGTTGTAAATGTTGTCCCTATCTCACTGCTCTGTCTGTTCTTGATGTAGAGATTCAGGAAGATTCAAAAGTAATCTGTAGCCATCTTCCCCAAATTCCCCTGAGTGATCCCCGATTTGAGGTAAATTCGATCATGTCACTCACCTGTTCAGAACCCACCAGTGGCTTCCCTTTGCACCATCACTCAATCCTAATTCCTTAGGTGGCCTATGAGTCCCACATGCCCTGCCCCAGCCTTTCTCTCTTGTCTAGTACCTTCTGCTTTCCCTGAGCCCCAGCCCCCTGGTCTTCTTTCTCTTCCTTGAACTCACTAACTGCAACGCTGCCTCAGGGCCTTTGCACTTGCTCTGCCTAGAATACTCTCCCCCAAGAACCTCACATGCCTCACTTCTCCTTTTCACCCACATCTCAGGTCATATGTCACCCCCTCAAAAAAGCTATCTCTGACCAATCTATCTGAAGCAGACCTCCCTTCCCCACCCCCAGTCTTAATAAAAGACTAAGAGTGGGTGATTGCATCTTGGGGGTGTCATTCTCAGCAGCCCCAGGTTGGAGAACATGTTTCAGGACTGGATGTTCCAAGAAACACATGCCAGTAAGCCAAGCATGAGGTCCCCACCTGCTGTGGGGATGGAAATGACAGGAAACTCCAAAGGCCAGAGACTCCCCCAGCCCCAGATGTCAGGTTGAACTCAGGAAGCCCCACACACTGAGACTGTTCACATGTAGCTCATGGTACCAGAGAGGTGTAACTTCTGTTTATTAACTAGAGGCCTGACGCATGAAACTCGTGCAAGGGGCTCCACCCTCCCAGCCCTGGCTTCGTCCGGAAGGACATCTGGTCTGATTAGCATATTATGCTTTTATTATTATAGAAAACTATAGATTCACAGAAAGCTGCAAAAATCGTACAGGGAGGCCCACATGCTCTTTCCCCAGTGTCCCCCAGCGGAAACACCTGGCACTCACAGCATCACAGCCAGGACACTGACATGGCACAGTGTGTGTGTAATTCTGTGTCATCCACCACATGTGGGGACTGCACAGGCACCACCACAGTCAAGACACGGAACTGTTCTGTCACGGCAAAGACCTCCCTCAGGACACCCCTTCATAGTCACACCCATGGCTAGTCCCCATTCCTACCCCAGGCAGCCCCGCCACTGATCTGTTTCTCCGTCTCCACAACTCTGTAATTTGAGAATGTTAGATAAGTGGAATCACACAGTATGTGACCTTCTGAGATTGGTTTTTTTCATTCAGCATAACGCCCTTGCAATCCATCCAGGTTGGTGCATGTGTCAACAATTTGTTCTTTTTTATTGCTGTGTGGTATTCCATGGCATGGGCATACCAGTTTATTTAGCCATCCACCTGCTGTGATTTTTTTCTCTTTAACACCAGCTTATTGTCTTCTGGTAGCTGGATTATCTCTCTACCTGTCTCCATCCAGCCTTCCGGAGACTCAGTCACACTTTCTGAGAGCTCAGCCATCATTTCCCATGGCACCACCGGCCTGGTCACGTGGAATGCTGCACTCTACCTTGCAGAATGGGCCATAGAGAACCCAGCGGCTTTCACTCACAGGTGACCTCGGGGCACAGGGCAGGCAGGGTACCAAGGCGAGTTTTCCCCAGCACGATTTCAAACACATGTCCCCTTCTCCCACTCAGGACTGTCTTAGAGCTCGGCAGTGGAGCCGGCCTCACAGGCCTGGCCATTTGCAAGATGTGCCATCCTAGAGCATATGTCTTCAGTGACTGTCACAGCCTTGTCCTCGAGCAGCTCCGAGGGAACATCCTTCTCAATGGCCTCCTGTTAGAGTCAGATGCCACCGCCCCTGCGCAGCACCCAGGACACACCACCCACAACACAGAGAGCCCCAGGGTGACGGTGGCACAGCTGGACTGGGACATCGTGACGGCCCCTCAGCTTGCTGCCTTCCAGCCAGACGTCATCATCGCAGCAGGTGCCATTCAGCCCCCTGTGGCTTCCATTTGTGGCTTCCCTGTGGCTCCACCCACTGTCAGTTTAGGGAAGGGGACCATGGACTCTGCAGGGTCAGGGAGGTACAGATGGATGAGACATCTGGAAGGGTCACTGTGAGCCTCCAGAGTGACATCAAAGCACAGGGTGTGCCTCTGGGGTGCCCTAAAGCCACATGCGCCTGTTTGATCAAGTGGCTACTTGCATTCCCATTGTAGTGGTTCTAGCAGATAAATGAACCTGGCTCTTGCCGTCAAGGCCTGGGATGAGCAGAGCAGGCCCCAGGGCACCAGGGTGGTCTGACCTATTAGCCCAGCCTTTGTGTCCCTCTCCAGAGCCTGAGGGAGGCTACTCAGTTGCCATCTGGAACCTAAATCAAGTAGTGGGAGCAGCCCCATCTTCAGACCGAGGGGGTGGGAAATGGCTGTGGCAGCCTTGTCCTTTCAGGGCCACAGGAACAGCACAGTATTCCCAGGACTGTCTGAGTCCCCTGTGTGTCACGGGAACCCAGGGGCTCACCGTCCAACCATAGTGGAGTCTGAGTCAGGGAAGGCGCTCTGAGTACCCCCCCTCTGTCAGCGCTGGCTTCCCTGTGCTCGGTACCATCGCCATCTGTGTGGCCCTGAGGAGAACAGCTCCTGCATGTTTCTATCCCAGATGCACACCGTGTCTTTCGGAGACGAGTCCCCACAGAGGGGACCCCCCGCTTCTAGTGCAAGGACAGGTTCCTTGAGAGAAGGGACATTTGGCTTGGCCACCAACAGACCCCTTATCCCTGGCTGACAGAGCTGTCTATACCTCTGGTCCTGGGCCACAGCCCTGAGACCCATAGGCACACAGTGGCCGGAGCGTAGAGCCCAAGCAGCACACCCCAAGGTGGCACCATCCCTGTAAGCCTGGCTGTCAGGCCGGAGCAAGGTGGTCCCCACCCCGCAGAGAGCAAAGACGCAAGAAGTCTGAAGCAGACTCAGGTTTGCTTTATTAAAGAATTGATTTTTTTTTTTTTTTTTTTTTTTTTTTTTAAGGAACAACAATGAGTCCTTGATATTTTTCAGTTGTTGCCTTGTCTTTCAGCAGCTTTCATTCTCCTTAGGATTTTCTTTTTATACATACATAACTTTCTTTCCATCTAATAGAACTGCTGCTTTCCTGCCCCTTGACCTGCTACCAAGGTTGGCACAACCTAGCACTCTCCATTCTGGGGTCCTGAATCCTAGAGGGAGTCCCTGTTAGTGACCCAGGGTTTTTCATTACAGATGTGCTGTACTGCCCAGAAACTGTCCTCTCGCTGGTCAGGGTCCTGCAGACACTCTCTGCTTGCCAGAAGGACCGGCAGGCTCCTGACGCCTACATTGCCTTCACCATCCGCAACCCAGAGACATGCCGGCTGTTCACCACTGAGCTAGGTGAGCCCAGGACAGGCTGCAAGGCCGTCCAGCCTGCAGGGGCCACTGTGCTGGCCCCACACAGGACTCCAGTGAGGCAGAAACCAGGGAAGTGAAAGAATGGGGCCCCAGCAACAAATCAGAAGCTGGGCTGGGCGATAACTCCCGCCCTGAAGTCAGCAGAGGAGGCAGTGTGGAGAGCGGGCTCCCAGGGAGAGAGAGCGCACACCATGATCCTAGAGGGCTGGGACCAGCAGCCCTGCCATGTGTTTAGGGCAGGTTTCATTGGCTGTAAAGTGGACGGGATGGCGGATGCCAGTGGTGTCAGGGTAGACGAGGTTCAGACCACATTGCCGTCAGGCACAGGCTCCAGAGTTGGTTCCAACACTCGCCCTGGTGGAGCTGAGTTGGCACTGCCTCCGGGCATCTATACAGTGGGAACATCCACCTGAGGTGGAGCAGGGTCTGACTCACAGGAACGCCCAGGAAAACGGGAGCTGCTATTACTGGATTAAATGCACAGTAAATGAAAGAACAAGGGGTGACTTTCAGAAGGGAGAGGAGTCTGCCATTTACAGCCCTGAACTGGCATTTCTGTGGACCAGGCACTGTCCCCAAACCTGACGTGCCAGCCCCTCTAGCAGCTGGAGGGGTGTCATCCTCTGTTGCCCATGGAAACATGGGTGTAGGGAGGCTAAGTAACTCCTGCTCTCCACCGCTAATCTCCCACCCCACACCCACTGCCCTGCAATTCCCACCACCTGCCAGGCCCAACCAGGCCTTCTATCTCGGAACCTGACAACAGTGCAGGACCCATTTGCCCCAACACCCTCCCCCAGCAAAGCCCCACCGCAGCAGCCTCTGCTGACAAACACAGAGACCACCCGAACACCCACCCACACGTGCCCATGTCCTATTGGCAGAGTACTGTGAGCCTCGAAAAGAATGAAGTCCTTCTGGAGATGGGACTTATAAGGGAAAGTATCTACAGTATGTATTTTTTAATACATACTAGTTTTAGGTGTACAACCCTGTGGTTATATATTTATGTAACTTAAAAAGTGATGACGCCGGCAATTCCCTGGGCAGTAAACCACGCACCATCTTGTGACCCCCCTCCCTCAATAATAAATTTTTTAAAAAAAGTGATGACGCCAATAAATCTAGTAACCATCTAATATCATAGTTATTACAATATAATTGACTATATCCTCTTTGCTGTAGTTTACATCTCCATGACTACCAATGTGTAGTTCTCAGTCCCTTCACCTTTTTCACCTATCCCCAACCCCTCCCGTCTGGTAACCATCAAAATCTACAATATATTTTAAATGAAGAACGCGAAGTACCAAAAAGCATAAATAGCATAAGCCAATTTTTATTTTAAAAAATAATCACCTTTATATTACTATTCACGTGGGGGAAATCTGGAATAGTTAACAGTTGTTATGCTTGGACAGCAGGATCATAGATGCTTCCATGCTTTTCTTTCCTTTCATTTCCTTTTTAAATATTAATTTTTCATTCAAAATAAAACTTACAAAATGAACCTCACCAATGGCTCTTCAGACATCTGTGCTCATGAAGAGGGCGGCTGCCCCTTCAGATTCGTGTCCAGCCTTTGTGAGGAGGCACGTGCTGACCAGTCAGGCAGAGCGGGTTCAGGTCTTGGCTGCACCCGATGAGGTGTAGGACAGGTGCAGAGCTACAGGGAACCCAGGCAGGCCATGACCTTCTGGGGATGGGCATGGCCGATGGGCAGAGACAGCAAACCTGGCTGTCATGAAGTGTTCAAAAACACGATTCCTGGTCCTGCTCCCAGAGGCTGACTCTAGATGTCTGGATGGGGCTTGAAAATCTGTACCCTCCCCCACTCTCCACCCCCAGGCCCGTCCGGCAGCCCTGCACTGACAGGCGACATCCTGTCCCCAGACCCCACCATCCTGAGACACATATGTTCTGTTTCCAGGGAAGGCTGGGATCTCATGGGAAGCAGCGCCTCGCCACAACCAGAAGCTATTTCCCTACGAAGAGCACTCGGAGATGGAAATTCTGAAACTAATGCTGTAGGTTTGCAGATGTTTGGGGAAATTACCATGAAAATTAAATCACTTGGGAAAGAATTTTTATGTGGGAAAGCTGATAAAACTTTCCCTGGACTTAAATGTTTGAAGAGTGTTCAATTCTGAATCAGGAACCACCAACTTTGTTCTAATGAAATATAACCGTTCAAGTGTGGGGGTACCCCTTTCTGTCAGCAGTTCTGGTTGTAAGCAAATCACCATAAATCAGAAATGAAAATTTTGGCTCAGAGATAAGCATTCCACTTGTGCAGGTAAAAACATATATATCAAGTATGTTTTCCTCCATTCTGGACACACATCCTACAGTACACATGGCACATCTCTGCTCACAGTGTGGGGGCCGCGGTGCCCATGTCAAGGCAGGAATCAAAACATTAGGGACTTGACAGAACAGATGCTGAGAGAGGCAGACACCAGGAGACAAAAACAGGGACAAAGAGATGTTGAATAGACCACAGGCAATTAACAGGAAAGTAATAAACTAGAGGGAAGAAAGGAGAGAGAGAGAGAAGTGACTCAAGGCTGGACTAGTTTCCTGGGCCACAGATTCCCAGTCATTAGAATAAGTTCATTCCAAGCTGAATGAACTCATTCCTTCCTCAGCGTGTGTGGGAAGCCTCTTGGCTGTTGAGATGTCCCACATCCCCTGCTACGTGGTTAGCCTCACATGTAGAGCTGTGGAAGCTCCCTCCCGGAGTTTGAGGTGCGAGGCAGACACCCCTTTCCCTACTTTAGGAAAATGTGGGACTCATACTCCAGTGCTCTGTAAAGATCTCCGTATTACAGGTCCTCTCCCCTTAACGGTTCCAATCACCCAAACCCTTTTACCCTTCATAAAGCAGGAAGAGCAATGAAATGGTCTCTGACAATATACATCGGGAACTAGCACTTCACTTGGTAGACAGCCTTCTCCATCTTACTGAGAATTTCTTGTGGCCCTTTGGTTTGGGATTTCTCCTCCGTTTCTGATGTGTTAATGTTGTTGACTGTGACAGCCCAATGCATCTAACGCTCTGAGCACAGGCCCACAGCCTGGCTGTCTGGAGGTATTTAAATCATTCTCAAAGAAAACAGGAAGCAATGAGGCTTCCAACAGATTCTGTGTAGAATGGACCTCCCAAAACTGGAGCAGCCAGCACGAGAAAAGCACATCCCCCCGTCACAGAGGTGCAACTGAGTGTCCCCAGGCATGGGAAGCCATCTATACCAGCGCCAATTAAATGAAAACGTTCTTGCTGCCCTCACCTCTCTGTCCTGAATTGAGACTGTCTGGCAACTTAGAAAATGACCATACGACTTTTTATTGACCAAAGTGGTCATGAAACTGCCATAATTCATGACAGCAAACCTGGCTGTCATGAAGTGTTTTAAAAAAGTTTGAATAAAGTTTAAAGGAAGGGGTGGGGGGGAATAATTTCATCCCATGCATGGCACCTGCTGCTATCCTTTCAACTGCCATCCACTGGGAGGCGCTGCTCTACACAGTTTGCGCAGGGAACAAGCAGCTGGAAGAGGCTGGAGGAGGGACAGGGAGCACGGTTCTGGTGGGAAGCCAATGAGAGCAAGGCGGAGTTTGCATGAGCCTCAGGGTCTTCCTCTTTGTGACATCCAACACCAGGACATGCTCAGGAGGGTTCAGTCTTTGGCCCAAGGGGTCATGTGTCCACAAGCAAAGGGAGAACTGTCTGCTTCCAGCTCTCGTCCCAACGAAGCTGCTTGGACTCCCGAAGATTCTTCCGGAACTGGTTCAGTTTGCCAGCAGGATCAGGAAACTTTGAGAAAAGCATCTATAAGAAAAATGACAAAAACTTCCCTCATCACCGCTTCCCGACACCCCCACCCCTGTTCCCAGCAGCCTGGACCTCTGCTGCACCCCAAACACAGCTGCACCCCAAACACAGCTGTCCGGGCAGTGATTTAGAAACCCTCCCTCTGTGGCCACACTACCACCACCAGTGGCTGGGAGTCTCCAGTGGCCTCCCTGCACCAGCCTGCCCAGTTTCCACACAGTGTGGGAAACTGGTCTCAAACATCTCTGAGCCTGACCTCCCTGGCCCAGCCAGCCCCTCCCTCACTGGTCTTACTGGACCCCTCACACCCCAGCCATGTTCCATTTCCTACTCCTCCTACTCAACAGCTCAGCCAAGCTGCAGTGCTCGCCATCCACACACTGACCTGCAGTAGCCCCCAGCCTCTGCCATGCTGTTCTTTCCTCCAAGAGCACCCACCCCTCAGTCTCTGCCCAGCACCATCCAGCCCATGGGCTGGGAACAAGACAATGTCTGTGTTCTTTCCAGTTTCACTAAACTGAGTCAGGTATCTGCAAACTGTAGTCTGTAGGCTGAATTGGACCTTCCACCTGTCTTTGTAAATAGAGCTTTACTGAAACACAGTCACACCAGATTTTTCTAGCTGGGCCTTTCAAGAAAGTTTGCCACCCATGTCTCAACTATCAAAAATGATGATATAAGACTTTTTGTAATAAGAAATAAGTATCCTGTGAAGACTCCCGTCCATCTTGCAAGGCTGGTCTAGGAAGCTCCCTTCACTCCTCACTCTCCCTCCTGATATCCATTGCTCCCTAAATGACCGTCCACCTGTGCACCATCATCTGCGTGGCATAAGCTCCACAAACCTAGCAGCAGGTGGAGTGTGCCTGAATTCCCCCGGGCCCACTGAGGCCCAACCTCTGGGACCGCGGTTCCCTCCTGCTGCCTTTCTCCAGACCCAGCGCAGGCTCACGGAGTCCAGAGGCATGGCCCAGTGCCAGCCTGAGGCTCTGCAAGCCCTGGCACAGCGGCAGACACACTACCTGCAGCTGAGCAGCCAGTTCCTCTGCATCCTCAAAGACCAGGCCGTTTTCCTCATGTTTCACAAGCTCACGTAAGCTGCAGAGAGAATCGAGGGCAGCCTGAGAGCTGCCTGGAGAAGACACCAGAACTCCAAGGTGCCCACCTGGACCCCCATGCCACCACTCCCCACCCACAGGCCAAACCAGGGGTCAGGAACAGTCAGTCTGGTTCCAATGAATCTGGTCTTAGATTTGACATCTGAATAGAAAACAGACCTGGGAAGGTACATATCAAAACTCCAAACCGATTTGGGGGCATGGGAGGTGGGGGGTGGACAATGAACAGGGATCTGGGCCTTTCCTGCTCTCTGCTCTTCACAGTGAGGACACGCTCAGTGGGTTCTGCTTGTTTTTTAACCATGCGGCAGAGAAACAAGGTAAAAGGCAACCCCATTGGAGGCAGCACATTACGGGTGACTTTTCTGGGTAACCCCAGAGTGCAGTGCTCAGCTCACACAAGGGTCTAACATCCTGATTTCCATCCAGAGGCTGGCTCATGAGCCCATGGGAGAGCAGTTTCTAGAGCCTCTTCTCACACTGTCCTCTCCAAACCCCCATCTTTGCCAGGAAGAGTGGAGACAGAATTGCACTCATTTGACTAATTTGAATAAGAGTAAATGAGCTCAGACAAAAGGGAGAGAGAAATAAAATCATGTAAACTGTGCAGGCAATTTCAGCCACCGCTTTATCCTTTGAGCACAAGCCCCGAGTTGAGTATTGAGGACGAGTAGTTTTCCTTCAACATGAGCTCTAAGCGGAAGCCAACTCCTGCAGTAGGACTCAGCCCACCCGGGGACTCCCACTCCCAGGGCCACCTGGCTGAGCGCCCCGATCAGGAGGTGGAGCCTTTCTGGGGGGCAGCTCTGGCCACACTGGTTCCCCCAGCTGCTAATCTGAGAACCTAACTCCCAGAAGATTCCGTTTCCGCTCCTACCACCGGAAGTTCACGGCACACACAGGCAGGCAGCATCCAAACATGTCCACCACCTTCATGGGCAGGTCCAGGCCGCTGGAGGACTTGTGCAGGCAGACGCCCAGGTCCGCTGACCCTGCGGAGGGGGTGGGGGTGGGGTTGTCAGAGCACTGGCCATGCTCCCTTTGACCACACGTGCTGTGAGGACTGTGGGTCGACGCCTCTGGTGGGGAGTGGGAAGTGGGAAACACTCCCAACCCCTCATAGAACTGGCTGGAGCCGGCCAAGCATCCGGTGCAGGGTGGGGACACACAGTGTCCAATCCTGGCCACGCAGCCCTATCTGAAAACTACCTGTCTATCATTGACATTTTAATTTAAACAGACTCCCTTTTCCTACTTAACCACCATTTATTTTAAAAGAACCCACAGCAATTATGCTGAATGGATTCAGAGTGTCTGCTTGGGGTGATGAGGCTGTTTTGGAAACAGACAGTGATGATGATTGCACAACACTGTGAACATAATTCATGCCACTGAGTTGTATGTACACTTTAAATGGGAAAGTGGTTAAAATGGCAAACTCTGTTATATATATTTTATCATAATAATTAGAAAAATTTTGAACCCACAGCAGACTCAACAGAAAACCAGCTGTCGCTGTGAAAATAAAGCCAAATAAACAAGCTCACTTCACTAAGTATCGGCTGGAAACGCCTGCCTACAAGGCTCTCTGCCTGGACTGCTCACTGGCTGCTGGAAGATGAGCCTTGGAGATGCATCAGCACCAGGCCAACTCTGCCCTCCCCAGAGTAATGGAGACGGGAAGAGAAGGGGAGGACAGTCTCGAAGGGAACGTAAATATGCCTAAACCTCATCTCGGCACTGCCCTCCGGCACTTGGGAACAATGGGCCCCAACCAGAGCCAGCCCAGCCCTCTTGCCTGGACGGAAGAGCAGGACTGAACGGAGGGCGTGAGGCCTAAAAGGACATAAACCTCTTACAATCCCTGGCAAACAGCACCTGAGCCCACCGGGCAAGGAGGAGCTGGCACACCAGGAAACAGCCTCCCTTCCTGGAGTTCAGTCAGCAGCTCCTCCGACAGGTTCCTGGCAAGCAGCATCTCTGTCCCAGGTGGCCCCTGGAGCAGGGCCCAAGGCCAGGCCCAACTCAGCCTGAGGCTGATGTGTGTATGGCCCTTGAGCTGAGAATATCTTTTAATTTTTAAAGGGTTGCAAAAACAAATGTGCAACAGAGGCCAATAAAATATTTACAATCTTGTCATTTTCAGAAAAAGTCTGTCCTCCAGCCCTAAAGTATTCCCTCTTAAACCTCAGCCCAGCCCCCCCTCTGTCACTCCCACCACCCGCCTCCAACGCCCCCCCCCCCCGCCCGCCCCGCCCCAGGCCTCCTGCCAGGCATCCTCACCTAGAAGCAGGGGGTAATCCTCAGCCTCCAGCCATGGGGTACAGACCTGGATGTGCTGGAGATGCTTCTGGCCAATGAGGTGGCTGTAATGCTCCTTCAGAGGCCCTTTGCCTTTCAGAGAAAATCGGAGTTACTGCACTGGCCCGCCTCTGGCTCCACCCATGGCCAGACCTGAGAAGCCCCTGCCAAGGAAGCCCACACTCCTCAGCTCCAAGCAAACTCCCATCTGGCTCCTTCCGGAAACAACCCTCCAGGGCTGTGCACCCTGACCACTGAGGCCATGGCAGCCTGCACCCAGCAGGCTGCGAGCGTGGCCAGGATAAACTCTGGCCTGGCGCCAGAGTGCCAATTAGACACCGATTCTCACATGGACTGCCCTGTGCCTCGCCAGGAGTCCCAGGTGGCATGGCATGTGCAGTGGGCTTCTGCCACCCTGGGAGCCCAGAGGCCAGGAGGAGGGGAGTGCTGAAGGTGGGACACCTGGCCCAGGACCCTCCTCCTCCGACCACAGCTCTGCTTCTCTTCCCACTGGGCTACTCTGGAAGCAATTTTATGTCAGACAGTGGCCTCTTTTAAAGAAACACCTGCAAACCACTGAAAAAGTGAAAAGCTCAGATTCAAACCCAGGCCCCAGGCCCTGCTGTGAGGCCCTCTGAGCCTCAGTTTCCCCCGCTGTCAAATAGGTGTAGAAAAACCTATGTCAGGGAGCTGCCATGAGGATTAAGGAAACAAGGACATTCCGTGCCTGACATAGGAGAGGCACACCAGAAAGGCAGATGCCTTCCCCTCTCCTTGCCCCCAAGCCAAATACAGGAACATGGAGGGTCCCAGGCAGTACCTGTTATCACACAGACCAAAGAAGGCAAGCTTTCTCCATTCAGGATCAGCTGTTCAAACTCTGTGTTTAAGAAAATACATGATGACCAGGATCGTCTACTCAGGTGAGGGAGGGGTGGGGGAGGGGAATGCGGAGGGACAATTCCAGACACAAGGTCACTCTCCCAGAGATGGCACTTCAGTTCTGGGCCTGGACACTCAATGACCCAAATGGGGACTCAGAGCCACCACCTCTACCACCCAAGTGCCCAGGCTGCCCACCCTGCAGCCCAGGGGGGAGGGACACTCTGCAGAGGACACCACGCAGCTCAACAGCCCCTGACAAGCCCAGCTCCTGATCACAGCCACACACCTACTTTCTAACGCTGCCAGGAAGATGGAGAAGTCTTCATCCTCTACAAGAAGAGAGACAGTATCATGCTGGTTTCTAAATGTCTCCCCCCACCTCCATCCCACCCAGCTCAACGCCCTCCCCTTTCTCATCAGGGCCTCAGGGCACCCCAAATGTATGTGGGGGGCACAGGCCTGGCAGGAAGGAGAATGCCGGCTCAGACAGGTGCTCATACAAGCCCCCAAGTGCACAGGGGGATCCTGAGACCTGTCCAGCTCGTGCTGCTGACCAACAGGGCCGGCCGCCCACGAAGACGTGTCACCATCCCGCTGTTAGCATCCCGCTCCGTGAAGGCCGACCTCTCCGTGGCGGGGTCCAAGGGATCTGAGCTGAAGGAGCAGAGACAGAGCCTGTAAGATGCTACAGAGCAGGCCCACAGGCCCCAGGACGGCCATCGCCCACCAGAGCGAGGCCCCGAAGCTCCCGAAGGTCAGGGTATGGCCATGTCAGCCACACCGAGCCAACCCTACAACCCTAGGCCAGGGCACAGACATGAGCCTTGCTTTCTGTATCAATATTTATTGGTTCTAGGTGCTGAGGTCACAACAGCAGACAAGACCGACTCAGCCCCAGCCTTCACCAACTTCCTGTTCTTATCATTCCCTCAACTTAGGGCAGTGGTCGGCAAACTGCGGCTCGCGAGCCACTTGTGGCTCTTTGCCCCCTTGAGTGTGGCTCTTCCACAAAATACCACATGCGGGCGTGCATGTACAGTGCGATTGAAACTTCGTGGCCCATGCGCAGAAGTCTGTATTTTGTGGAAGAGCCACACTCAAGGGGGCAAAGAGCCACATGTGGCTCGCGAGCCACAGTTTGCCGACCACTGACTTAGGATGAAGATGCTGTGACCTCCCACCTGGCTCCCAGGTTACTGAAAGGAGCAAACAACTGGCCTGTGAACTGCTGCTAAAGGGCCTTTCCTGAGCCCTGGGAGACCCCACAGATCACACAGGTCCACAGACGCCGCCATGGGGTCAGGAGCCTGCAGGCAGGAGGGTAAAATGCCCACAACCTTCTGCAGGCCAAACATTTCTTTAAATGGCCAGAGAATAAACACTTCAAGCTTTTATTTGATCTCTTTTGTAACAGCTCCACTGTTGTAGTGTGAAAGCAGCCATGGACAATGCGTAAGCGAATGAATGTGCTGCATTCCAATAAAACTTTATTTATGAACAGGCAGTGGGCCTGGAGCCATAGTTAGCCAACCCATAGATTTAGTGGATTCCTAAGTCTGCAGCAAAGAGGCGGGGGAGAAGCCAGGACAGCAGCGAACACAAGAGAAGATGGAAGACAGGAGACCTACCTGGCCCTGAGTGCAGGGTAGGTGCGGCCCAGCTTCATAAAGAGCCGGTGTTGCAGGTCCAAGGGCGTCTCTTTAAAGAAAGATGCTGGCTTGTCGTAGACAGTCACAGCTCTGCAAAGAGATCAGAGGGAGGCTCTAGGAGTGGAGAAGGGCTTAAGGAATAGAAGACCCAGGAGGATCTGAAAAAAGAAGGGCACTTGGGGGATCCAAGTCTCAGACAATGACAATAATAAGCTATGAATTACTTGGGGAATCAGAAAGAGAAGTTCTAACATCAAAACTGCCTGGGCCAGTCCAGCTGGTGTGGCTCAGCGATTGAGTGCCGACCTAAAAACCAGAGGTCACAGTTCAATTCCCAGCATATGTCTGGGTTGCAGGCTTGATCCCCAGTGGGGAACACGCAAGAGGCAGCCAATCAATGATTCTCTCTCATCATTGATGTTTCTATCTCTCTCTCCCTCTTCTTTCCTCTCTGAAATTAACCAACATATATATTTAAAAATTGCCTGGGCCATCTGGCTGGCTGGGAAAGAAACTCCAACCTCCTCCGCCCTCAGCTTCTCAAGACAATAACCATCTCCCAGGCCCCTGGATATTTCCAGATGCCTCGCCAACATGACACAGCAAGCACTGCAGCTGGGACCAACCAAGCTGGGGCCCCTTGCCCACCCCAGGTCCCTACTTGATGCCCCAGTTCTCTGCCAGGTCTTCCCGCATCTCACTGGTCACACACAGGTTCAGGTGGGAGAGGCGTCCGCAAAGCTTTTCGTACCTGAAAAGACACAGTGTTGCTCAGCCAGGAGCCCTGGCCAGGCCCCATGACCATAACCACCATGTGACTAGAAACCTTTCCATACAGAAGAGGCTGCAGAGCTGGGGTCTCCCAAATCGGGTCACTGGCAAGGTAACTTCCCAGGATTTGTACTGAGTTCCACCTGTGCTACTGTTCCTTCACATCTTTCTTTACATTGTATCGCTTCTCAGCTTAAATACAATTACTTTCAAAGGAAACAATATATGCTACCGAAGGGAAAATCCGCTCTCTCTTGCCATAAGAAGAAATACAATAAAGTCCCTGTTATTAAATTTTAGCTACCCTGCAATTTTAGCCTTTAGTTCCCTACAAAGGCTGTAGGGCTGAGGATGCTCCCCATGTGTTACAGAGGAGTTTGGCAAATGACAGAGAGGTGTCAACAACAGTTTTGCTCCAAATGGAGGCTTGCAACCTGATGATAGGGCAGAACTGAAAGAGAACCGAAAAGGGGGAATGAGACTCAGGTTAACACCATTGGTGTATCGGGGCTTGTTGCTAACTCAGGATGCAGAGAGCTCTGGAATTGGACAGCCTGGGCCTGAATTTTGGTCCACACACTTTTAGCTGTGAGACAAGAGACATAATGGTTCTCAGCCTTGATTTCCCAGCCTGTAAAAGGGGGGTAGTGTAGACTGAATGGGATAAAGGACTTGGACTGAGCCTGGCATGCAGCAAGTGCTCAATAATTACTGCTGCCACCACTGCTGTTACCACCATCAGAGAATGACCCATCAGGGGAGGCTGCAAATCCCAGCTGAGGCAGGTGTTGTATACTGGGGCTCAGAACAGACCAACTCTGCCTGCTCCTGGTCAAACCTGCAACCACAGATCCTTCTTCCCTCTCCCTGTCTCATCAGCCGCATTAAACGGTGGCCTGTGTCTCTATCTTCCAGCAGCAGCCCGTGTTTATTTGGGAATCTGGTCTGGGTACACCTGGGATCCCAGCTCTCCCAGTGGAGCACTTGTGCCAAGCCTGAGGCAGTGTGGTGCAACAGCTCCTGGCCTCAGTGGGAGGTCACAGGATGGCAGGTGCCAATCAGAGGCTCACTCTCTCCAGAGCCTGACAGGGTGAGGCTGACAGCAAGGGGAGCTCCCAGAACCTGAGAAATACCTCCCAGAGGGAGTGTGGAAAGAGAGATGAAAGGGGTCCTGATAACACCCTTTTTGAGTTTAAGTCAGCCATTTCTCTGGACTTTTCTGTTTCATGAGCCATCAAATGTGTCCTTTGCTTAGGCCTGTTTCCATCACTTTTAACCAGCATCCGCCCAATTCCCCAGCCTAGCCCTTACCCCACAGAGTATATAAGGAACCAGCTTCACTGAGTCTCCCCCCAGGCCCTTTTTCCTACCACAGTTTAGGGAAGGTATCTGCACCATCCTTCCAGACCCTCACCACTTGGCCAGCAGAACGAGGCAGTGGCTGGGGCCATGTACCAGACCCATAATGGAGTAGCCATAGTTGTGCCAGTCGATGACGAGCTTGGTCCCACAGAGGCAGGCCACAAACCAGCAGACAGCAATGGCAGGCAGGCCGGGGGGGTTCTTGGAAAAAGAGAGACTTGAATGAAGAGGAGGAAAGCAGACCATCATTGACAATAAACTGGGTGCAATGTACACGATCGATAGCCAGAAGACCCTCTTCTTCACTAAAAAAGGTATAAAATGTCATAAAAGAAACAAACTGACCAACCTGAAAAGTCCCAGGTCATCAAACCAAGGAGGTACATTTAGTTAGGTGGCAATTGTGTGAGGGAAGAGGCATCCCCTTGGGTGGGGGATAAATTGGCCCATCCTTACTCTAGGACTATCAGGTAGCACACCACAGCATTTTAAAGTGCATCAGTTTTGACCAAGCACTTCCACTCCTATGAATGGATCCCAAGAAAGAGATCAGACTTATGCAAAAAACATATATTCATTGATACTCTTTTACCATAAAATAGGACTAAATAAATAATTAGGGTACATCAGCCAATTAAATGAAGGTGCTTCTACCAGCCGGTATGGCTCAGTGGTTAAGTGTCGGCCTGTGCACCAGGAGGTCACCGGTTCGATTCCTGGTCTGGGCACATGCCTAGGTTGTAGGCTCAATCCCCAGCAGGGAGGTGTGTAGGAAGCAGCCGATCGATGTTTCTCTCTCATTGGTGTTTCTATCCCTCTCGCTCCCTTCCTTTTTCTCTAAAATCAATTTTTTAAAAAAATGTTTAAATAAATAAAAAAAGGTGTTTCTATATGCTAAAAAGTGAAGGGAAGAGGTTAAGAGCATAAGTCCAGAGCCAGACTGACTACCTAGTTCAAATGCTGCCTCCAGCCCCAGTCGGTCTAGTTCAGTGGATAGAGCATCAGTCCACAGACTGAAGGGTCACAGGTTCAATTCCAGTCAAGCGCACATACCTCGGTTGCAGGCTCAATCCCCAGCCCCGGGTCAGGGCCCATGCAGGAGGCAACCAATCAATGTTTCTTTCTCTCTCTCTCCCCCCCCCCCCCCCCCCCCCCCCCGCTCACCCCTCCAACCCCTGCCCTTCTACTCTCTCCAAAACTCAATAGAATAAAATACCCTTGGGTAAAGATGGAAAAAACAAAAAATTCTGCCTCCAGCACTTCCTAGCTATGTAACAATGGGCTACTTACTGAACTTCTCTGGATCTAGGTCTCCTCATCTCTAAAATCTCTAAAATGTAATATAAGAACCTATTTCTTAGGATTGCTGTCAGTGATTAAATGAGTTAACACATGTAAAACACTTAGATGTGTAATAAGTACAACATGAGACTTACCTGTAATGACACAGAAAAGTAAACTGGATGGGTACCATAAACAGAATGGACACATACTCTAGTCTCCTATTCATATCCTTAAAAGTTTATACACACAGACGTGCAATTTATTTACCAACCTGTGCATTTTTAAAGGCTGGAAAGTAAGGAGAACTGTTAACAGTGATTCTCACAGAAAGAAGCAGGGCTGTCATATACCTGGAGAAAGATGTAGGCTGCTGGCTCACTGCACATCAACTTCCACAGCAAGTGCACTGCCTGAAATACAACTTTGACTCCATACTGAAGAATGTGCGGCCCAACTGCAAGTCAAAAAACAGCTGTCACTACCAAAAGAGTTCTTGGCAATTTGCAGACACCACCAGCACCCCCACACACACCACCCCGCCACACACACACACACACACACACACACACACAGAAATATGGAGTGTGCTGCACCCTACCTGCAAGTCTCTCAAGTTCTGTCAAAGGTACAATCCGAATTCTGTCACTCTGCAAGAGCTCATCGTGGGGTTTGGAGTCTGAAAAGAATGTCCCCTTTAATGAACCAGACAGGACAATCTAATTTAAAGACAGATGACCTGCCAGCTCAGGCAAAATAGTGGAGAGTATTTTGGAAAATAGGACTTTTCTTTTTTAAAAAAAAAAAAAATATTTTTATTGATTTCAAAGAGGAAAGGAGAGGGAGAGAGAGATAGAAACATCAATGATGAGAATCATTGATCAGCTGCCTCCTGCATGCCCCCTATTGGGGATCGAGCTTGCAACCTGGGCATGTGCACTTGACCGGAATCGAACCTGGGACCCTTCAGTCCACAGGCCGATGCTCTATCCACTGAGCCAAATCAGCTAGGGCAGAAAATAGGACTTTCCAAACAATTCTGTTCCTCAATTGCCAGAACAGAGAATGAGGCCAATTCTTGTTCAGATTCCACTAGACTTCCCACAGAGGAAGGGCCTGAATCCTATTCACCTTTAGGTAACACAATACTTGGCACATAGTAGCCCCTCAAACTGATCTAGATTCCCTGGATGGTGGTATTATCCCACCACAGGGAGACCCCTATGAAGTCCCACTCCACCCCCCACCCTCAGAGAGCAGACTCTAAACAGAGACCAAAGGCAACCAGTGCTCTTATTACTGCTTTACACTCATATAGAATGAGCTGCCCTTTAACGATGTCAACACGGAAGAGGATGGAGGAGCAGACACACGTGACGCTACACACTGAGGGGAAAGCTGGACATGCTGTGCAAATGAAAGGCATCTGCCTGCAGAGCTCTGCAAAGAGGAAGGCAGGGGAAACAGGCTGCCTGTCTCCTCAGACGCAGCCTGACAAGAGCAGCAGCAGAGACGCGGTTACCAATACTGACCCTGGGGTCACACGCACCTGGGTTCCAGCCCGCCTTTCCACTTACTAGGAGGGTTCAGTGAGAACTACGCAATGAGTCCATTTAGCTTAGCACTGTCCTGGCATATGGCAGGCGCTCGTTTACAGCTCCCTTAGCCTGTTCACGCAGACCCACCCAGCAAAGCCTGGGACCTGGCAGCAGCTGTCCAGGACAACAGCGGGCTCGTGCACCGCGGAGAGCTGCCCAAGGGAGGAGAGAGAACAGGTGATCAAGCTGAGAGAGCTGCCGCCTTCCCAGATCCCCGGCACTCACTGCAGAACCCCAGGAGGGTCACGGAGAAGCCACACTTGGCCAAGGACAGCGCGTGATACTGCATTCGGGGGCTGCGACCCACGTCGCCCAGCACCACGACGACCGCGTGCCGGGCCATGCGCTCCCGCCGCCAGCGCTTCCACGCGATCAGCAGCAGCAGCGGCAACGACAGGGACAGCGCTAACACGGCCACGCAGGAGGCAGCCATCTTGGCCGACTGGTCGCAGTCACGTGACCGCGCTCCCTCCGGCGGGCGCGCTGTGCGCAGCCGCACATCGAGCCCCCGAGGTGGGCGGAGATAAGGCAGGGGAGGGCGTGGTTCCCTCAGAGGCGGCCCGCGGAACCCTTGAAGAGTCCCCAGGGTCCAAGAATTAGTTGAATGAAGGTGAAGTTTTTACCATGTGGGGATCTAGGAACATTTTATTTCACAAGTTGGAAGACAACAATTTGGATGAATCTCTAAACATACTGTATTGAGAAAAGGGGCCAGATGCCAAAGAGTAAATGCTGGCTGGTTCCATTTATATAAAAGGAGATTAATTTTCCATCTTTCTCGCTTTCAGTCAGACCCGCCGGAGAGTCTTCTGAAAGTAACATCATGATGCTTTCCCAAGGAGAACCCCAGGTTTAGTTCTAACTGGTGTTGGCTGGTGATGACGGGACTGGGAAAACTCCACTGGAGAAAAATCATCTGGTGAGTTTGAGAAGTATGTAGCCCCTTGGTGTTGAAGTCCATCCCCTCCTGTTTCACACCAGCAGAGGGCCTATTAACTATTAATTCAATGTGGCGGGTACATCGGGCCAGGAGAAGTTCAGCGGATGAGACAGGTATGACATCCGAGCCCAGGGGGCAGTTGTAATGTCTGATGTAACTTCGAGAGTTACTTAAAAGAAGGTGCCTAACTGGCATAGAGATCTGGAGAGAGAGAGAGAGAGAGAGAGAGAGAGAGAGAGAGAGAGAGAGAGAGAGAGAGAGAAAGAGAGAGAGAGAGAGAGAGAGAGAGAGAGAGAGAGAGAGAACATCCCCGTCATGTGGTGTGCCTACAAAGTGGCTATCAAGCCCAGGAAAGTTAAGGCAAAATCATTGTCTTCCACGAAAGAACCACCTCTGTACTATGATATTTCTGCCAAAAGTAACTACCACTTTGCAAAGCCCTTCCTCTGGCTTGCTAGAAAGCTAACTGGAGAACCTAGCTGGGAGTTTGCCGCCATGCCTGCTCTTGCCCCACCAGAGGTTGTCCGGAACCCATTATGAGCATGACCCAGAGGTTGCCCAGACCACTGCTCTCCCGGACGAGGATGATGGCCTGGGAGGAAGGGAAGCTGGAGCCCAGCGTCAGAAGCCTAGTTTCACAGTCACCTTCCTGTGATGTCAGTGTTTGCCCCTTTATCATGGAGCTAAGCGGAGCCCGTGCTTGACCTTTAGGATGCTGAAGGAGATGAATGGGCTTCGGCGTGAATGTGGCCGTTTAAAAATACCTTCATTTTTTGGACCTGCACATTTAGCTGTTGGAATGCAGTTGTTTCCTTATTGAGCTTCAAATAGAAAAGTGCTGCAGTCACATCACAACATTCAGTGGCAGAGCCTTGTACATTACTGTCATTCTCATTCCTTTTCGTTTAGAATCAGAATTAAGTGTATTTCAAGTATCTAAAAAAAAAAAAAAGTCTTTGCTGTCAGAAGTCAGGGGAATGACCTCTTTGGAGAGTCAGGAAGTGAGTGGGAGGGGGTCAACGGGAAGGTGGAGGGTGGAGCGATCATGTTCTGTTTCTTGGTCTGGGTGCTCCTAACGTAGTGTGTTCCACTTGGGAAAATTCATCCAACATCAACTTATTAGTTTTTCAGGATACGTGTTGTACTTGAATAAAACACTTAAAACATAAAGAGAAAGGGAAGAGGAAAGGACAAAGAAGAAAGTAAAAGCCATAATGATTTTAAGTATCCATAGTATTGAGGAAAAATTTCCCCCCTGACCCTCCAAAGTCACCACCCAAAGTAGTCACACTGCCGAGTTTAGTGTGTGTCCATGTGACAGCTTGTTGACTTTGAAAGGGGTCCCCTTGCTGAAGAACATGGAGAACGTGTTGGTGAAGCCACCCCAACTGCCCCTACTTGGGAGCTGCCCCAGAACCTGCAGAGCACCCAGCACAGCCGCCACTCACCTTCAGACCTGCCTTACTCAGTTGCGCATTCCATAAAGAAACCTCCTCCCTGGATAAGAGCCTGGGCAGGTTCGTGCCCCCTGGACAGGGCAGCACCGTGCTGATGCACTTCCTCGGTGACCCTAGCTCACCACTTAGCACATTGCTTATTTGGTTCTCACAATAGCCCTATGATTCCCCTTTTTACATCTAAGGACACTGAAGGTCACATGATTAATGAATATGTGGCAAAGGCAGGGCTTGAAACCTGATCTGAGAGAGGAAGGAAGGGCGAGTAAATACGTACAGATGGGAGGGGTGGGCAGTCACCGTTGCAGCCTCATTATCCCTTCATTTACCAGTGAGGCTCCTGCCTTTAGTTGCATGTGCCCTGCCCACTCCGTCCACCCTCTGTGGTGGAGGGGGGCTCAGATCTGGAGACCTCAGTCTCATGGGTTCCTTGATCTTGAGCAAGTCACTTTAGATCGATCGATTAGCTGTCCTGACCTGTAAATTAAGGGAGGGAACTTCACATCTCAGAGCTCCCCTCTTGCTCTGATGATCTAAGGCAGGGGTGGGGAATGTCCGGCCCACAGGCCGTAGAAGGCCCTTGAAATCATTTGGCCTGGCCCTGCCAAGGCAACCGCAGGCGGGACTTGAAGGTCAATAAATCTAGGAGCTTTTTTTTCATAACAATACAAATTTATATTAAGTGAATTATATTAAGCGAATGACGTTATAAATATCCAAATGGCCGTTGGCCGAAAAAAAGGTTCCCCAACCCTGATCTAAAAGGATGAGGACGAGGCACAACGGTTATGACAAACTGAGAGTAAATGCCTTGCTATGGAAGATGAAACCTCAATTGGAAAAGAAGTTGAGAACATTTCTCTAGGGAAAGAGGAGTAAGGTGCCTCGCCAGCCAGCCCAGCTTACCTTCCTTGTCCCATTGATATTCACACATGAGAGTCAGTCCTTCCAAAGGTCAGGAGGATATTGTTTCCCCTTCCAGAGAGAGGAGGTGAACCCTGGCAGGATTTCCTGATGCCGAAGATGTCAACTCAGGAACTGGCATGCATGAAACACCTGATACTAGCTGTGAGACTATGGGTCACAGTAAGTCACTTACCCCACCCCACCCCCACCCCCTCAGAGCCAAATATTTAAAAAGGGAATAAGAATAGTTCCCACTTCAGGGTCTCTGTAAGGATTAACAGAAGTGACGACAGCACCAAGCTTCACCTGGAACACCCATTCTCAATGGCACACTCAAGAGGGCAAAAGATGGATCTTGGGAAGCAAAGGAAATCTACTCTTTTATGTATGAAGCCTAGATACATACAGTGCATAAACAAATATATAGTATATCTGCAGTATTAAGATTTCACTGGAGTTCGCACCAAAATGTATGCATGAAGAGCCCTCAGACATTGCTGGCGGGAATGTACGATGGTGCAGCCACTGGGGAAAATAATTGGACAGTTCCTCACTAATTAAACGTAAAACATACCACATGACCCAGCAATTGCATCCTAGGTATATACCCAAGAGAACTGAAGACAGGTTTCAAACAAAAATGTGTAAATGAGTGTTTATATCAGCATTATTCACAATAGCAGGAAAGTGGCAACAACTCAAATGTCCATCAACAATGAGTGGATGAAGTGTGACTCATCCACACAATGGAATATTATTCAGCCATAAAAAGGAATGAAGTATTGATTCATGCTGCGGCATAGATGAACCTTGAAAACATTATGTTGACAATATCTCAAGCTTTTTCTTTCCAACTTGGGCCCAGCATAATGGCTCCCGCAAAACAGGGTGGCGAGAAGAAGAGGCCACTCGCCCATCAATGAGGTGGTGACCAGAGAACACACCATCAACATTCACAAGTGCATCCATGGAGTGGGTTTCAAGAAGCGTGCCCCTCGGACACTCAAAGAGATCCGGAAATCTGCCATGAAGGAGATGGGAGCTCCAGAAGTGCACATTGACACTGGGCTCAACAAAGTGGTCTGGGCCAAAGGAATAAGGAATGTCCCATACCATATCCCATGCGGTTGTCCACAGCACGTAATGAGGATGCAGATTGACCAAGCAAGTTCTACACATTGGTTACCTACATACCTGTCACCACTTCCATAAATCTGCAAACAGTTAATGTGGATGAAAACTAACTGCTGATTGTCAAATAAGGTTATAAAACTGCCCCCAAAAAGAGAACGTTATGCTACATGAAGGAAGTCATATACAAAAGGTCACATATTGTATGATTGTTTTATGAAATGCCCAGAATAGGCAAATTTATAGAAACGGAAAGTAGATTAGTGGCTGCCAGGGGATGGAGGGCTGAGGGGGTGGAGGGAGTGGGAAGTGACTGCTAATGGGTATGGGGTTTCCTTTTGGGTGATGAAAATATTCAATAATAAGACAGTGGTAGTAGTTGCACAGCTTTGTGAATAGACTTGAAAAGACACTGCCTGGATTTTATAGTATATGAATTATATTTCAATAAGTCTGTTATTTTCTTTTTTTATATCAGAGAGGAAGATGGCGAGAGAGACATTGAAACATCAGTGATGAGAATCATCAATCAGCTACCCACTGTACACCCCCCTTACTGGGGATAGAGCCCACATCCTGGGCATGAGCACTGACGGTGAGTCAAATGGTGATCGCCTGGTTCATATCGTCACTCAACCACTGAGCCACACCAGCAGGGCAAATCTGTTATCTATAATAATAAAAGCATAATATGCAAATCGACCGAACAGCCGAACGACCGTCCAGCAGACGACCTTCCGGACAAAGCCAGGGCTGCAAGGGCTGATACAGCTGGGGCTGCGAAGGCCTACACTTGCATGAATTTCGTGCATCAGGCCTCTATTTCTTAAATGTTCAGGGAAAATGTCTAAAAAGGCCAGGAGTCAGAGATGTGGGGAAAGGCAAGAATGAAATTAAAAGGTTGAGAAACCCTGACCTGTGGGCAGGTTCTGGCCCACAGGAGCATCTGATGCACTTTTGTGTGGTGGCATTTTTATTATTTTTACAGATCTGTAATCTCTTAACTTAAGCCCTGGGGCCAGGTAT